GACTTCGAAACCTCGAAACCTCCACACCTCGGAACCTTGAAACCTCGACCTCCAAACCTTGAAATTTCGACCTCGAATTTGAATCAGTCCCCAAGAAGACCCTATTTTGGAATAATCTCCAATAAGGTCCTAATTTGAAATAAATCCCAGACAGAATCCTAATCTGAGATAATCCCTAATAATTTTCCTGCGGGTCGTAAACGCACGCAGAGAGGCGCATCATTCATCAGGGCATATCAAAGATCCTGGCAGGTCTGATCCGCAATTTAGGACCCGGCGGTTTCAAGGAGGCTAAATCAAAGAGAAAATTACGAGAAAGATCCCAAAAATTGCGCTATCGCTGCGGATCGAGCGTATAGAGGCGGGAAAGCCCTAATTCAGATTTTTTATTATATAATTCATAGACCAATGTGGGCTCCCGAGCTTGTCTGCTCATTAGAAGCGCCTGCATCATATTTACGCTCTTTGAATACGAACGGAATTATGATTTGAGCTTGGAATAATCTCCAAAAATACTCTAATTCGAAATAAGTCCCAAATCCAAATCTAATATGAAAAATCTCTGATAACGTTCCTAGAGGCCACCAGAGTCATATGTGGCGCAGAAACCGAGTCTTGCGATTGCAGAAATTTATCAATCGCAGGAGACTGAGGATCCATGGCAATACTCAACTCCAGAGTGCCTTTATTTTAATCCTTGCGAGACGTTATGGTAGCCTGGTCAATTGCGCGGGTTGAATGAGATACTCCTGACCGGAGGTGCACTACGCGATGAGAGGTCAGGCAGGTGATATCTTTAAAATATTATTGGGGTCGTGGCAGGCACGGGATTGCCACCTCTATCCAGAAGCTCTAGGAGTTCCAGGCAACGTGTATACTGCATCACTAGATGGCACAGCGGGTTGGCCCGCATGGAGGTTCCAATCATGAGATTGAATGGAGGGAGATCTAAGAGCCAGGATAGAATAGATTCGAAAATCGGAATCTCGAAATTCGGAAGCTCGAGACCTTGAGACCTTGAAACCTCGGAACCTCGAAACTTCGAAACCTCGAAAATTTGAAACCTCGAAACCTCGAAGATTCGAAGCCTCGAAATCTCGGAAGCTCGAAAGCTCAAAATCTCGAAACCTCGAATCCTTGATCCTTCGAAATCTCAAAATCTCGGAATCTCGAAAAACCTCGAAGCCTCGAAGCCTCGAAACATCGAAACCTCGAAAACTCGGAATCTCGAAACCTCGACGCCTCGGAATCTCGGAATCTCGGCGCCTCGGAATCTCGGAATCTCGAAATCTCGAAATCTCAACGTCTCGGATTCGCGAAACCTCGTTTTCTCGAAATCTCGAAGGCTTCGAACCTTGAACTTTCGAAATCTCGAATCCTCGAAATCTCTAAATCTCGAAATCTTGAATTCTGGAAACCTCGAAAATCTGGAAACCTCGAAACCTCAAAAATCTGGAAACCTCGAAACCTCGAAAAATGGAACCTCGAAACCTCGAAACTTCATGAGGATTCCATTGCCAGGTCTGTTCTGGGAACTATATATTCAAAATTTGCTCAATCTTTATTCAAATATTCAAATCCAAATCTATCAAATTCTTTTTCTATATATCCAATATCACGAATATAAAGATATCTCATATTTTTATCTTTCTAATACGGATAGATATTTCTATCTAATAGAATATAATGAAGAATATATAAGATAGAAAAATATCTCAATATTACGCCGCGGTCATTTGGGGTCATTTCGTTTACGTGCGGCCTAGCTTTTCCGATTCATCTCTAAAATGCCTCCTGCGGGCTCCATAGGGGTTTTAAAATCTTGGAGATTTTAGAACCCTTCGGAAAAGCTAGAGACTCTAAACTCTCCGAGATTTTTGGCGTGGGCGACACGACCAAAAATCTCGGAGATTTTGGTCGACCCCCCAGCCCTTACCTCTGGAGCGGTTTTCCGCATGATTTATCTGTTTTTGGCTATCTATGCGGCTGCTCGGCGGAGCGCATAGACCCGGGACGGAGAATCAACAAAATCTTTTAGCATTTATAGGCCGGTCGTATCTACTATACGGGGATTTATGCGCTCCCTCGAACCGCCGCATAGATAGTCCAAGAGAGATAAATGAGGCAGAAAGGTCGGGTTGCATGGGGGGGTTCTCACGACCCGATATCTCCCGAGATTTGGAATCATTTCTCTCTCTTCGGAAATCTGCGCGGCGGCTCGGAACAGAATCTATTAGTTTGGTCATCTTTGGTTACGTATGATCTTATATATTGACTGTTGTCGCCGAGATTCCCATGCAATCTTTTATATTCCGTTTGATTTATCTATCTTTAGTTGACAGCGCGACCGTTCGGAAGAGCGCGTTGATCCCAGATATTTATATTTTTCTCCGAGCTATTACGTAATTAGCCTAAGAGAGATAAATGAAGCGGAAAGACCGGGCTGAGGGGGCCGGGGAGGGCTGCACGATTAAAAGATCACGTAATCCAAGATCTCATTTCAAGGCATTTATTCACCGCCCTCGCAATGGGGTTATTAGATTTTAAAGCAGATGATGGCCTCGCCCGACTAGAAGCTGACTTTAATGACCAACCACCAAATATCCCTATAATGCCCAACCGCAGAAGATCCCTACAATGCCCATCCCCAAATATCCCTATAATATCCAATCGCAAAATATCCTTGCAATGCCGAACCACAGGGTATCCCTGCAGTGCCCAGCCGCAGAATATCTATGGAATGCCCAACAGCAGAATATCAATATTCTTGCAACGTATTTGTAGTGCTGCAAGGAAGACAATTGAGGGGGGGGTCAGGGAAACATTATTTTTCTTGGGCAATAACGACTTTAGGCTGGAGATGCTCGAAATAAAATATTTCTCTTATGCTGAAAAGCCGAATAGAAGAATGAGAAATCTCGGACGGAGATCTAAATTTTCAGAATATATAGATATTATATGCATTCTTAAAATATTAGGAATTCTCCTAATTTCATATGCGATCTTATATATATTTAGATATCCGATTCTTCGTTATATATTTTCTCAAATGAATATCTTCCGCGCCTAGAAATAACGAATCAATTCTAATATAGAATAATATCATATTCTAGAGTGGACCCGCTACAGATTATTGACGGAATATCGTCATTAAAATGGATTCGAAATGATAAACGAATTCATAGAGAAGAAATACGTAGAATTCCAAATCCGATATTATAATTTGATATCTCGAATCCTAAATAAACGTACGTGCTTAGAAATTGAAGGCTATCAAGCTAGCAATAATTGAGGGAAAGGCGTGCTTAGGAATATTGCCATATCGAGATTCTTCCAAGAAGCAGGAGCCCATCTCGAGGCATCCCAGAAAGGATAGACTTATAGATAAGAATCCAAAGATTTGGAAAGGCATCTCAGAATCTGACGATTTTTTTCCCAAATAATCTGATACGGTCTACTTCTATCGTCTCCTTTATACGTATCTATACGCATAATCTTCTACGGATCTATGTAATATTAATTTCAATTCGAAATCCGAATCGTGATATAGCTCTATTTCCCTAGCATATAGAGCTGGGATTCTATTCCCTAGATATTTCATGAATCTCCGAATAATAATTATTTATCTCATGAGAGAATATCATCAAATCATTCTATAAAAATGTTCAATATCAAGAGATAATCTTGCTAGTCGCAGATATTTTGATAATTAATCAAAAGCGGCTAGTCAATAGATTACAAATAAAATTAATTTTGCATTTCGGATCTATTCATACCGCCCAGCCACTATGCAGATAATAGAATTAATCCGAAATCTCGAGAAATTTTTATTCCTGCGGCCCAATTTCTCCAACGCAGAATTCCTATTTCATCTATCTCTCTTGCAATAATTATTGCATAACGGATCGAGGGAGCGCATAGCAAACGCGACTATCGATTATCCCAAATCTATATATTCTGCCAAATAATCATCCATTCAATCAAAAGAAATAAATCATGCGAAAAAAAATCTTTCCAAAAAGAAAAATTAGACAGCCAAAAATCTCCGAGACTTTTAATCGCCCGACCCCCTTCAAAAATTTTAGAGAGCTTAGAAGCTCTAATTTATCCGAAAGATTCTAAAAATCTCGGAACCCATAGGAGATATTTTAAAAATAAATCAGAGAGACTGGACTATTGTTAAAGATTTTTAGAATAAATGCGAAATATATATATATATATTTTTTTTTTTCAAATAAAAAATATTAAAATCATCAATAAAATAATTATTCAAATAAAATCTTCCAAATTATTTAGAGATAATTTCATATTCTTTATCTATAATATTTATCGATTCGAATATAGAAATAAATCAAATAATCTAAATTCAATTTCGAATTAAAATTTATCTCATTCAAGACAGAAAAATTTCATCAAATAAAATTCATCTTCATAATATAATCTTCCTTGAAAAATCAATCATAATCATGAGAATATCTTATATAAGAAGGCTAATAATATTCGAAATTCTTTTTGAATTGAATAGAAATTCGGAATAGATATCAATATAATATCTATAGAAGCTGGCTCAAATATATCCAAATAAATACATCCAAAAATAACTTAAATCAAATCCAGATTATAATTTAATAGAATAGAGATCTTTATTTAATATATTATTGAGAGAATCACGAATTCCAATCATATCTTTATCAAAGATATCCGAAGATATGATAAACAAAAAGAATTCAAAAATCATAAATTCCAAAAATATCTTTTGAATCATTTCTATGTCAAATTCCTACAAACGAAATTGATGAATTCTATAATAGACTTCCAATAGAATTTTTTCAAGATTCATCAAAAAATAAGAGATGAAGATATCTCCTATCATATATCCAATATTTCTTTATTGTCATTATTTTCCTGCAACCTTTTCCTATTCCGAATATATCGGAAATAATATATTTCTTTTGATTTTTTCCACGTTTATCGCAACATATGCGGAGCCGTTGGAGTCGTCAACGAGTCTTGAGACCTGCCAGATTGCATCCAACCCTTCGCGCTATAACAATGAACCTGGCAGAAAGATTTAACACAGCCTTCATGCGGGCTTTACACGCTATACACGCTATAAACAACAGCTACTAATATGTTCATTCACTCTAGCTTCGGTCCAGTCAATGGTTCACGCTTTGGCGGGCAAGAGATACATGAAAATAAGAACGCCCGCAGCTAAGCACTGGCGCTGGAGAAAAATCGTCCTTCTGCAGCACATGTTTCGTTCTGTGCGCGACGGGCCAACGGGGTTATGCTTAGTACCGTCCCATGGGCTTTCTGCTACTTTGATGCGTTCCCGCAATTCTGGCAGCGCAGCTTGAAAGAGCTGAATTCGTGGCCCAAATCTTTTGTTTGCCATCCATCCACACATGAACTTCTTTGTGGAGGCTTGGGACCACGGACTCCTTGTCTGTGGCGCGCGCATGAAAACTAAAAGCTCTGAGAGATCTGGGAACGCTCAGTGCATTTTCAGGGTTGAAAAGGATCTTGACGATGGACTGGATCTGAATGTCTTCCCGTTGCGGTCCACCGCTTGACCCCTCCTTTATTTGAAAATTTAGGTTATGGTGGTCTGTCTCTTATTCCCCAAGCAGGAAATGTCGAGGGTCCTCTCCTCAAAGAAAAGAAGAACGTCGGCTGGACGGACTGCAGGCGGCGCAGACCTGTGGGCCCGTGGTGGGCCCGCGGAACAAAAAGAAGAACGCGGGGCTGCACGCGGCGCAGAACTGTGGGCCTGCGGTAGGCTTGCAGAAGAAAAGAGGAACAAGACGGCTGGATGGGCTGCACGCGGCGCGGACCTGTGGGCCTGCAGAGGGCCCGTGGAAGAAAACAGAAACGCGGCTGGCTGCTGGATGGGCTGCGCGTGCAATGGGCCCACGAAGAAGAACGCGGCGGCTGGATGGGTCGCATGCGACGCGGACCTTTGGGCCTGTGGTGAACCCGCATTTGTGAGTGCTGCTTACAATCGTAACTGATACAAATTCCTGCAAAGATTCTGGTCCTGACCGAAAGTCGCGTATGCTGGATTTTTGTTCCCCAAGCAGGAAATGAAGCCTGCGGCTGCATTGGCAACGGCGGCTGGAGTTGAGGGCTGACGGTGGCTCAATTGTGGGCTGAATGGACGGACCTAAACTTGCCAGCGCAAGGCCGCGCTCAACATGCTTCTATCCTTATCCCGGTACCTTGAATTTTTCCCTAAGCACTAAACCTCAAACCTACGAGGCTCAAAGCACCTTGAGCCAGTAGCATCTTGCAATGCTCATATTCTTTGTCCAAGGCCCTCAAATTAAAGTCTAGCGATGCCAGAATCAGACTATCGTTCCATAATCTTAAGGCCTGCCGAATCAAAGCCAAGAAAAGGAAAAATTAGTCACCAATATCTTTTATATGGGTATGTGGATGTTTTCTGTAGCTATTGAATTGTTGCTCTTTTGTTTTCTTCGCGTTCTAATCGGATAAGTGCTGAACGCCACTCATAACTTTGATTTGCACGTTTTCCATCCATGCTGTCTTCGCGGCACTAATTGAAGCACCCTGCCCTGCTTGCAAGCCTTGTCCCTGTCCTGAAGATCTGCCTTCTGGGACACTCCATCTACAGTGACGCATTTTCCGTGCCAGATTGCATAGTTTGATGCTGAAGCGAGAGGAAAACATTTGCAAATTAGATATCTACCTGTTGGTGGCAGATGGACATGTGCAGAGACCTGTCCTTGCAAAGCCACCATTACGCCTCATAGAGAATGTGACGCACGTGCTCTGGCATGGCCTCTGTGCTGAAGGGATGGATAGTCTGTTATGACCCAAGCATCTTGCGACAGCTCTGTAGTGACCTGAGCACAGGGTCGGCCCCATGATTTCCCCTCAAATCCTCGAGTTCTGTAGGGGAGATGTATACTTCGGATAGAAACTGTGACGAGAGGGATCTTAGTTTGTTGCAGTACTGAATTCATGGAACGCATTTGTTTCGTATCTTGCACGAATCTGGTAGGGTGATGATTGCATATTCAGCCTGATGGGCGAACACGTCTCCAAAAGTTTGGAGTTGCCATGCTTGGCCTGTCATGCAACTGTTCTTTGTCGTAGGCCGGCCTAGATGCATTCCAGCTGAGAAATTCTCTGACGGCGCACAAAGCAAGTGTCCTGAGGCATGAACATTTCCATAGAAGGCTAACTTTGGCCACGCTTATTTAGCATGCTATTTGATTTCTGCTGTTGGAAGCCTGTTCACCTCTGCAAGGTTGTGACACAATAGGAACAATTAAATTACCAGCCCTGGAGAAGCTGACGGCGCACAGAACAAGTCTCCTGAGGCATGAACATTCCCGTCGAAGTCTATCTCTAGCCACGCTTATTTAGCATTTAGCATGCTGTTTGATTTCTGCTGTTGGAAGCCTGTCCGGCTTCGCAAGGTCGTGGCACAAAAGGAACAATTAAACTGGGGTCTCGGCTCATCCTTTGCAAAGGAGAGATCCTGCTGCAAGTCTCTGAAATGCTCGACCGCGGGCGGGGCATGGCTGCCCTATGTGTGATGATGGAATGAGGATCTGCTGATTCAAGAATGGTCACCGTTCGCGAGTCGTCTACCGCTGGGAAACGAAGTGAACTCCTTTTTCAACTTGATCCAACCTCTCTGATAAGGCCCTCGAATGCGCTTTGCCTTTTGTTTCCTGGACACTTTTCGTGCTCCTTTGAGCTAGTCGTCTACACAGCTGAAGTATCCCATTTGTACCTGCACTTATGTTGTATGATGCTCCGAGGTAAGCTCTTTTTGCCTCCCACAGGGAGGCGGCTCCTGGATGTGTCACCAGAAAGTATATGTCGCTCGGCCCTTTTTCCTTTGGCAACTGGGGTGTTATCACGAACCTGTTGTGCCTTGCAGGGGGATATTGAATCTGTTCTGTTCTTTGCATATTGCCACGGCCCTTCCAGAACTATTTTCGCCTCGGGCAGATGGTGTTTCCCTCCCTCTACCAGCGGAAAATGTTGAGGTTGGAGGGTTTGCCTTTTTTGATCCGACGAGACGATGACAAAGTGCATCTGACTCTGGCGCTATGGGCTCTGGATTTTTGCCGGAGGCCGTCCCTGCCCCGTGTTTACGGGGGCAATTTGTTGGCCTCCTTCTTCTGCAGGCTGGAATTAGGTTGCAATGTCAAAGGGCCAGACCTTCCATTTGCAAACAGGATTGTATGCCAATCAATTGTATCGCCCAGGTGTTATGTCGAGGCTGGGATTGGCAGGCTTTTAACTGGATTTTCTCCACGGCTCATAACGTTGTTTTTTGACATGCTGATCAGGTCGACAGGAGAAAATCCAACTTTGCAAACGCAATTCCTTCAGTCTCATGCAAGCTGTTGTACGCTAATGTATAGTGCTTTAGGTATGGTAAGGAAAAACGAATTACCAAGCATGCAGTTCTACTTGAATTCGCGGCACGTGAGGTCATGACTGACCGGTGTAATCGGCGAGAAATCTGTCCAATATTGTCCAAGGTGTTTCTTGGCTTTGCACTATGTCATAGTTGCAATGTGTTGAAGGAATCCACTTCGAGATCTCTGCCCAGAATTGGGCGCTGACTCAGGCCGCAAATGCCCCACACAGCCCGGATGCAGCTCGCACTGGCAAAGCCTCTCTGCCTGCCCTGCTTGCCGTTTGTTTTGCCATTTGGGGCTAGTGTGCCTCATTTGATCATTTCTCCTCGACGAGCATGCATGCTTGTAAGGAATTCCTGGTCCTGAGACGTTGCGTGATTGCGTGCACTGCAGAATATTTTTTTCTGAGTCATGCCGTCCGCTGCTTCGTCATCGACGTGACTCCTCTCGCGTTGCTGATAAGTGCAAGTCCTCACACTTGGGACCTAGAAGCGCTGTTGATTACCTGGCAAATGCAGCGGCTCCCTCAGAACTGGGACGGGCCAGCTCCTAACTCGGTGCTGGAACAAATCGAAACAAAGGCGCCTTGGTGGCTGTCTTCATGCAACAATATGGGCCATGTGCTCTATGTACTTCCAGTGAGAGCTTTCACGGCCCAGAAAGGTCGAGGCCCGCTCAGTTAAGGCTCTGGCAGCCTTCTGCCAGTACGTTCCCACACGAGAGACTTAGTGTCAGGCTCGGGCTGCATTGCCTAGCGAGTAATTTTAATAGCAGCTACTTTTAATTGCAGCATCAGTATCAGTATCAGGATCTATAGCCGTGGAAAACTATATAGTGGCAACAACCAAGGCTGGGACAGCAACTTATCTGTTGGCAACATTACTTTTCCTTCGGCACGCCTCACATGAATACAGCAAGAATAACAACAAAGCCATTACTGGAAATTAAAGGACCGGAGAACCCCACATGTGTAGTTTAACCTAGATTTAGATGAGATATTATTAGGATAGCGTCGCCGGCGATATAGGAAGATATATTTAAAAGAATGCAAACTCTTGAGACCACATGACGCCGCGAAACGGCGAGCACATTGCGCGAGCGCGAAGTTGGCATGAGTTGCATCTGGTGTGTATGTATATGCATATGATCGCGTGTACATTTC